ACCCACCGGTGGGTTCTAGGGGTTAAAACTATTTGAGGTTTTATTCTTTATTTTATCTGATTATAATCGCTGAAAAATCTAACTTAAACTAGCAGTAGTTGCTAGCTTAGCCTCTGGGCTTTTCCTTTATTTAAAAATTTTACAGTAGGAAAACTTTTTTAAATTATAAGACTTGATTATCAGAGTTTAGGATTATTTTCCAACAGCAGCACTGTGTCGTCCTAAAGATTAAATTCAGTTAAATATCTATGGCGCCAGTTCACAACACATTTAATCTCAGGGCACTTTACAGTTCACCTGATCCTGAAGAGCTTCCATCCTGTAACTTTTAAATGCATCTCTTCTTTAGCACCTAAAGCCTCAGTCCCCTCATTTAGCTCAGCAGAGGGATGCTAACCGGTCACTCATTTAATTCAGGTGTGTTAAAAATGGTTGCATCAAAAAGTTGCAGGATAGTAGCTCCTGAGGACGGGACGTGATCGCTCCTGATCCAGTTATTTGATTCAAAGTTTTCTAAGGAAAACCAGTTGATTGCATCGACTCATTGACTCTAATCCCTCGCACAGATGTCGTCTCTAGTTTTTAATACAATCTTTTACTTATTTAGTTTTGTTTTATAGCAGAGGGCAAAACTTTATAGTTTTAGTGATGATCTGATTAAATTACCCAGAAAATAATCCCCATTTTTCTGAAGTAAAACCATTTTAAACATCAGCCTCCATGTTTGCTGATCTTATGGTTTCTTTCTTTAATGGAGGATTAAAGCAACTTAAACTGGTTTAACTGATCAAAGGTTAAAGATTTATCAGTTTCTACAGAGTAATCCACTGCTAGCTTCACCAACATGTTGCTACACACTGCCTGTCAGCTGGCTGAACACTAGCTGCTCCACTAAAATCTTAGAGAGGAGGAAATGTTTAGAAAAAGGTCCACGTTGGGATCAGCTTTCCTCTGTAGGAGGAGCAGATTGAACCTGAGCTCAGCTTGCAGAGCAGCTTCATGTTCCTCTGAGCGTTTTGATGCCTCCTACAATCATCCATGATGTTTGCTGCTCTGCAGATGTCAACGAGTGTCTCCTGAACAACGGCGGCTGCTCCCACATCTGCAAAGACATGGTGATCGGCTTCGAATGCGACTGCACGCCTGGACTCCAGCTCATCGACCACAAGACCTGCGGAGGTAGAGTCCTTTCAGGTTCCTCCTATTACATGGGTACCACCCCCCCCCACCCCGACCCGTCTGGGTTTATCAAGTGGGATTAATGTCGGATTTGGTTGATTTGACCTTCAGGAAGGAAATGAGGCCAGAAAGAAGCGGTTCAGTTTAAATCGACATGTTTGTCTGAATAAACTTCTAACAGGGATGGAAACGGGAAGATGGCGGCAGACCAGCTTTTTTTTTTTTTTTCTCTAGTTAAAGGAAGGCGTGTTTTAATGATGCAGGAGAAACTAGCTGTTGCAGCGGAGCATGTGATCGCTTTATTGATAGTTTTATTGATTCTTATGCATCAATAAGTTGACTGAAGCAAAAAGAGTCGATCTCTATGGTTGGAAAAATATCAAACTGCTTCTGATTAATGAGGGATTAGAAGATTAATCCAATTTTTCCATCAAATCACAAATTTATTAAAGTGTTTTTTTTTTTTTTGACTTTTTAACAATTTCCATTTTGTTTTGCTTGATCTAAGGTTCCTCTTTTCTTTTTTTTTTTTTTTTTTGATTCAGTAAATAAACATTAGGATAATATCAAGTTTTAGTCCTTCCCTCTTTCATTAGTAACATTTGAACCACTTTGTTACGGTTTTACAATATTTATTTTAGTTTAAGTGGGTGTTTTTTTTCACCATTTTTGGGGCTGCCATTCAGATATCCCTCCTTTCTTTTTAAACAGTCACACAAGGAGCGTACAATTCTGTGGATAGACCCTTAAAACAATGAACAACAATTATTTTTTCAAAAGGACCCAAAAACAAAAAATAGGCTTCACATTTCTTGTATTTAAGAAGAGAAAAAACTGTAGCCATGAAAGAATTAACACAAACCTCTTCCCCACAAAATTTCCTTTTTTTTCTTCTTCAAGGTAGAAAGGCTCCAACATAAATTGCCTGTGAATAAACAAAAAGAAACCATAAGAACCCATCTGATTAACTGGTTTCTGATCCGTTTATGGTGGTTAGGATTCATCGAATGATCAGAGGAGCTCCATTGACTAAAATACATCTTGGCTTAATGTCCCATATGGTTCTGGGTGGGACGCTGCTGCTAATGAACACTGGGTAACAAGAAGGGAAGAGAACTTTAAACTTTATTAAAAGGAAACTGCATGGACTGAGCTTCCATGTCAGCAGCTGACTTTCAGTAGATCTTTGTTTTGATTGATCACCATGGATACAGGACTTCATTATGTGAAAATAAGAGCGATGTTTAATTTTTTTGAACCATATAATAGTAACATGGCCCTTGCTTGGTCTAGAATAGTTATATTTAAATACAACTTTCCCTTTTCTAATGTAAAAAATTTGTAGTAAAATATTGTCCAAATTAATAAAAATTCACCTGCAGACGTAGTTTGAACTTTTAAATTAAATCGACCAGAAAAGGCCAAGTTAAAACAAAATATCCTGAGGTTTATTTCTGCAAAGCTTTTATTAAATATACTCTCAGCTCTACTCTAGTCTCATCCAACGAGTGTTTGAGCTTCCAGAAAACGTTCTCACTCAGTCTGCAAACAACCTGCTGCACCGGGCCATCTTCCTCACTGCTCCTCTGCCTCATTATACTCCTTTCTGCCTGCCCTCTCTGTGCAAACACTCTGAACAGACGACTCTGTCCAAGTAGGTAGTGATTGATTTCATTCACTATTTTCACATGAGGAATAATCAAATGTGACACGGTACAGATCACCATCATCTCCATGTTTCTCAGACAGAGGTTGAGATTCACGATACAGAGCGTCTCCATTATTACCTTGTTTTCTGAGAACGTTTTAATTCACTCCTCTGGAAATCAAACCAGAATCGAGTCTCAGCTGAAAAATGACCCAACATTAAGCTCAAAATGTACCGGAAACTTCGCATTAATGTGTAGAAAACCCTGAACATTTAAGTCGGAGCTTTAATGGTTTTAGGCGCAATATTTTAAAGAAAAAGTCCAGTCAGCAAGGAATAATCAATGGATCATTTATACCCAAACTAATATGTTTATGATGATTTAATGAATTTGACTTTAATCGGTAAAATAAAAATAAAAAAATGTATGCTATCAGATTTAAATTGTCTGAATTCCTGGTTAAATATCTTAAGGAACATAAATCATGAGGCTATTTGGGATATTTGTGGTGCTGCTCTTGCTGCCGTTCAGTCCCCCCCCTCAATAAGTCGTTTTTCCCCATTCTTTATTTTGCAGACATCAATGAGTGCATGAACCCAGGGATCTGCAGTCAGATCTGCATCAACCTGAAGGGAGGCTATAAGTGTGAATGTCACAACGGATACCAGATGGATCCGACCACCGGCGTCTGCAAGGCCGTTGGTGAGCATCTAGGAAGGAACGCTGCTGCTCTGGACGAAGATGAGCCTTTATGAACCCTTCTCCTTCCTCAGGTAAGGAGCCGTGTCTGATCTTCACCAACCGTCGGGACATCCGCCGTCTGGGTCTGGAGAGGAAGGAGTACACTCAGATTGTAGAGCAGCAGAGAAACGCTGCGGCTTTGGACGCAGACTTCAACCAGCAGACCATTTTCTGGGCTGATCTGGGTCAGAAGGCCATTTACAGGTACAATGAACCTCTAGACCTACACCACACAGATTCTGTGCCTTCATTTGTCCTTTTATTCCCTCTGTAAACTCGTTGAGCAGCAGTCGATACGACCCACAATGAGCGCTGCTGATCTTTTTGGGACGATTCTTGGAGCTGATTTTTCTTTCTGCATTTACCTGATAAAATGATAAATGTTACAAACTTCTCAGTTCAAACAAAAACGAACACTTGGTAACAGATAAAAATGTCATTAAATTAATAATGCTAAGCGGGTTATTCAATGCAATGGTTCCTAAACTTCTATAGCTTGCCCCCAATCACTTTAAACTGTTAAACAAAAGTCACCAGCAGTGAATTATTGACAAGTCGAATCAAATATACGGTCAAAAAAATTTACAAATCCAGAGCTCATCTTTACAAAGAATCTTCCCCGAACCAGAGGCGCCATCTCAGCCTCATTTATACTTTCCTTTAACATTATGTGAATGTATTTAGACGACCCAGTATGTGGGAATCTAACTGGAGTGTGTTTTTGGCCACAGTTGTATACGTGCATGATGGCCAGTGATGGGAGTAACGCCGTTACCTTTTTAAGTAACGCGTAATCTAATTACTTTGACTATAACGCAGTTACCATTGCTGACACCCAGTTACTGCACCTGTGTGAAGTTGGCCCCCCACCTTCTTCAAATCAGACAAAATTGGTGTCAAACGTTTGTGCAGCAAAAAGTGTCGTTTGTTCCGCTATTGTTTTAAAGATATAAAGAAATATTTCTAGAGGTCATCAAAGGTCAGACGAAATGGGTGTCAATTGACTTAACATCTGTTTTTGCTGCACAAACGTAGCTAACTGCCCTTTGATGACCTCTAAAAGATATTATCATTGAAATGATAGCAGTACAAATGAAAATTTTTGCCATACAAAAATATAAAATTTTAAATATAAAATATTTAAAATAAATATATTAAAAATTTTAAAATGCATATCTTAAATTGTATAAATTTTTTGTAATGCTATAATTTTAATTGTTTGTAGAAGCCATCAAAGGTTGACCTTTGACCTCTAGAAATATTTCTTTATATCTTTAAAATGATATATGATGAGGGTTAAGGGGGCGAGAAATGCAAAAGTAACGCAATAGTTACTTTTACTAGTGTAACGGGGGACTTTTATTGCGGAGTTTTTTTTGGGAGAAGTAACGAATTACTTTTTCAAAGTACGTGCCTAACACTGATGATGGCCTTATGTGCATGCAAGGATTCGTGTGGACCTGTGTTCTGAAATCTAAAAAGGAAAAAGTTGTTAATGCCGAAAGTCCCTGGATCTTAAATCTACTTTCTGCCTACTTTGTCTTCTGTGCGTATTACCAATTATGAAAAAAGGCCTTTTTACTGAATCACAAATGACACTTGAATATCATTACCTATGCAAACTAAACTAAAAAGTGAACATATTAAGGTTGATTTGATTCCCATAAATTTGCCTGAAATTTCTGGAATCTTAAACTAAAATTTGGGCTTTTTTTGTCTTTAGGAAAAGTTTGTTTGGGAGCAGGATTGCCTGTATTTGGTTTTCAGTTTGGTCTGTTTCTCCTCAGTACCGTCCTGGACAAGCGAGGAGACGTTGGAATCCACAGGAAAGTGATCGATAACGTCCAAACTCCTCTGGGGATCGCTGTGGACTGGATTTATAAGAACCTGTACTGGTCCGATCTGGGCACCAAAACCATTTCTGTGGCAAACTTCAATGGAACAAAGCGGAAAGTTCTCTTCAACAGCGGCCTCAAAGAACCCGCTTCAGTGGCCGTGGATCCTCTGTCTGGGTGGGTGGGTGGAAACCAGCTTCTGGAGCTCCTGCTTTAAATCATCCATCTGAGCCTTTATCTGTTGGTTCTGCAGGTTCATGTACTGGTCTGACTGGGGGGAGCCCGCCAAGATAGAAAAGTCCGGTCTGAACGGAGTGAACCGGCAGGTTCTGGTGGCAACGGACATCCAGTGGCCGAACGGGATCACGCTTGGTAGGAATGGAGCAACCAGCCGATCTGTAGTCAGGGGGGAGCGGCTATAAAAAGCTTTTCCTCTTCTTCCAGATCTGATCAAAGGCCGGCTGTACTGGGTCGACTCCAAGCTGCACATGCTCTGTAGTGTAGACCTGAACGGGGACAACCGGAACAAGGTGCTGCAGTCTGCAGACTACCTGGCTCACCCCTTTGCCCTCACAGTCTTTGAGGTACGGCTCTGGAGTGTTTGGACTCGCTACGTCCGGATCCATGTGCAAACCGGTCTTTGGCTTCTCACAGAACTCAAGGATCTAATTAAAGTTCATCAGCTAAAGAAGTTTAACTCCTGTTTGGTTCCTTTGGCAGGATCGAGTTTTCTGGACAGACGGTGAAAACAAAGCGATCTACGGCGCCAACAAGTTCTCTGGTTCTGACGTAACGACGCTCGCCAGCAATCTGAACGACCCTCAGGACGTCATCGTGTACCATGAGCTGATCCAGCTGTCGGGTAAGAGTTAGTTATGTTCATTAAAGAAAAACGTTCGCAATAAAACGATCCTTTTCAAAACTACAAAAATATAAAACTAATGTTTACAGGTAGCAGTTTCACACAATCGGCACCTTTATCCAAATAAAGTAATTCCAAACTGTTTTAGTTAAAATTGATCAAGTTTATTCAAGGCAGGCGGCGTTGGACTAACCTGACTCCGCCAGAAACCTTCCGTTGAAGTAATTTTGGGAAGCAACTCATTTTTAAAGTCGTAGGGAAGTCGTATTTAAATGTCAAATCATTCTGGCTTAAACATGCATATAAATGTACTCTTTATCAGACCATATTGTCCCAAAATTTCTATTTCTAAAAATCCTGTGTTAACATCTGTTTTTTTCCGTTATCTTCTGCAGGCCAGTTAGTTATAAATCAGCCTGAACACCTAAATTCGTCCAATCATATATAAACGGTCATCTGTCAATCAAATTTTTAAGGTGCATAACAGAATAGCTTCTGTAGCTCAGAGGGAAATATATTCTAAAGGTTTCATTGCAGCCGTAGCTCCTGATCACCTGCATCCGATGAGCAGAACACTGAGAGCTCAGAGGCCTGTTAATCTGCCTCATGACTTTATTCACATTAATGTCGGCGGAGGAGGGAAAACGCCTAAAAAATGGAGGGAGGAGCTGTTTAACGCCAGAAAACGTGTCAAAGGAGTTCATAGCTTCAGTTGGTTTTCATGCAGGTCTAACCTTTGATTCCTGACTGTTCTACTTCATGTTTTCAGGAACCAACTGGTGCTCAGAGAAAGGGGAGAACGGAGGCTGCAGCTACATGTGTCTCCCTGCTCCGCAGATCAACAAACACTCCCCCAAATACAGCTGTGTGTGTCCTGAAGGCCAGGAGCTGGCTGCCGACGGCCAGCGCTGCAGACCCGGTGAGTTCCTTTAAAACCTCGCGCTCCGTTTAGGGATGCACGATATAATCGGCCCCCTATCGGTATCGGCCTTAAAACTGAATATCTGACATCGGCCACCCCACCGATATTTAACCCGATATTTGATCAGCTTCTGAGTTTCTAAAGTCTAAAAAAAAAAAAAAAAACTACATCTTCTTCTTCCTCAAAAACTTCTTTTTTACAGACTTAAAAACTTCTAAAGACGAGGGAAAAAATATTGATCCATTAAAATATCCCAATATCTTCATATGCTGATATATTGCCATTTAAAAACACCATATCAATCTCTTTTACTAATGAAATATTGCTATATGTCATCGTTATGCTACGAAATCCCCCGAAAATTCACGAAATGTTGCCATATTTTTATATGTTGATATATTGACGCGGTATCGATCTATTTTACTAACAAAATCTCACAAGAATTTGCAAAATATCACGAGAGTTTGTAACAGAACGATGAAATTTCACGAGTCTGAAAGTAAAATAGATCGATACCGCGTTTTTAAAAATCAATTTGATATCAGCATATGAAAATATATTTGAGTATTATTTTTCAAAGTGTCAGAAATGGATAACAAAACTGCTATTTTCAATGACTACTTATTTTTGTCCAGCTTTAACATCGGTATCGATATCGGTCATCGGCTACATGAGTTTTAAAATATCGGATATCGGCCAAAATCCCAATATCGTGCATCCCTACCTCCGTTTCCTTCAGAAGAACGAGCCAGCGGCGCCGGCTGAACCTCAGCAGCCTCTGAGGAGGAGATGAAAACAGAATGGCACAGACGGCCAAAGTCTCAGAAACAACTTTAACAGGACAGAACAAGGATTTCAGCAGGAAAGAAAACGAGCTGCTGCTAAGGCTCCCAGTAGCTATAGAAGCAGAAAGGACCCAAAGTCTTTAAGGCACAACTTAAAATTCATGTCTGCAAAGGTGCAGGATGAAGTAGTTGGCTGATTGTTTGGAGCAATTAGTGCTTCTAGGAATGAAAGGAGAACAGCAGCCCTGCCCTTTCCTCTCCGATGGAAACGCGGTTGCTTAGAGACGCCGTTTGCCGGCTTTGTTTTCCGTCATGGCTGCGGTCCAGCTCCTTTCTCTGCTCCCACAGATTAGCCTTTTCAAACCTAAAGAGGAGTCGGACAGGAACCTGACAGCTGAATCCGCTGCACATACCCGACTAATTGGACTCAAACTTCAGCCGGAGGCTCCAGAACTCGCAGGACGGCGCCCGGCACCGGCGCTCCCGTGAGAGACCGACTCTAGCAAAGGAAACCGTCTGCATCGACGCCATCTTTAATATTTAGAACCTTCGTGATTAACCATCTACAAACAAACATCAATCAGAATCACAGATTCTGATCCTAATTTGATGGATTTTCTGTTAATTTAATAAGGAAACATTTTAGTTTAGCAGAGATCAGATGAATGAAGCATCAGTTTCACCTAAAGATGGTTATTAAATCTGAAATTATATTAAAAGAAATGCTCATTTCTGAAGGTTTTGGGTTTAAATGAAAGCTCAGGGTTTGAGTGCAGCTCGATCTGAGAGGAAGAGACTAAGGATCTGGACTTTGACTAGGCCGAGGTGGGGGTGGGCAACGTATTGATCATAATCCAGATGTTAGAAAAGAGATCAGAGATCAGGCTGCATCGTCTCTGATCCATCAGCAGCTCTTCTGCTTCCTGCAGTGAAAAATTAAAGCCTTTGATTGGAGCTTATGGCGATGCAGATGATGGATCCTCAGGCTCCCATCATTCCCTGATGGCTGACTGGTCCCCAGTCTGAGCTGGACCGGTCCACTAGAGGTTTATAAACCAGCTTCCTTCCCAGTAAAGCTGTAATCAGCAGCTCTGCAGGCCGTTCTGCCTTTTTACAACCTTTTTAAAGCAGCAGAGACATTTTCTCAGTCGAGATCTTTAATTGGTTTCATTTAATCTGGACTTTATTCCTCGTCTCATTTAAGTGACTCTTCTTAAAGCAACCTTTTCTTTTTATTCTTTCCTGTTTCCTTTCTATTTGTCCTTCCTTCCTAATGTCTTCATGTTCTTCCATTGTCTCCTTTGTTTCTCGTACATTACTGGCCTTTTTTATCTTCTACCTTTAGTCTTACTCTTTATTTTATTCTTCCTCCACCCTTTCTCATCAGGCTTCCTTGTTATAGATCATTTAAATGTTTAAATTATCTCTGCAATAGGTGAGGCATACGTGGAGGAACTATAGGACAGATCTGGGAGTCCTGGAGTTTAAAACCTTCTGTCTGAAAGTCTGGGCGTCTCTGAGGTTCATCCAGCTTCTATTTGTCCCATCTCTATGGCCGCCGGTCCTTCTCTCTGGGCTGAAGCAAAGCCGCGGCTGTCAGAGTCCGTCTGCGGACTAATTGGGCCGTTTCCAGGACGCCTCGTTGCTCTTTGCTCCGACACATCCAGCCCATTTTCCAGCTGCCTCAGTCGGACCCGGCGGGAACCGTGGTGCTTTGTGAGGCGCGGCTCCTAGCGCCTCTAATCTCGTTAGTGAGACAAAGTGAACAGAGGCGCTCCTCCATTCAGAGCTGGACTGAAAGCTGCAGACTGTTTCTCTGTTGAAGGCCGTCTTTAGAGACGGCGGGGATCCTAGAAGTTCAGGTTTGAAACTGTTTCTCTCTGTAAGGAGATTGATCCTCCAGAAAAACTTTATTTCTCCTCAGAGCTTCACATCCAGATGCTGATACGGGATAATCTGCCTTTGATGATGAAGATGATGAAGCTTTTTGCAGATTCTAGGACCGACACATCAGTTTATTTTAATCATTTAACCTAAAGGCGGTTGAGGGCTGGATGATTTTTACTAAAAAGCTATTTTATGTAGATTTTCCTCCGTTTGCCTCCAGAGTTTCATTGTTTTCATGACTCAGGAGTTCGTCTCAGCAGGACTTTACTGTAATTATTCCTACTTGGTCAGGATCTGTTCCATAGCTGCTAATGTTTCCTTCTGTGTGACAAAAAAATTACTTTAGAGCCAAGAGTACGACAGACAGACTGCAGCTTTTTATGGGCGACAATTTGCTTAAAGAGGCACTGATCTGATAAACTATCAAATATTTGCTCAGACATGAACTAATTAAAGGAGAAGCGGCGTTCTGTCAGACCAGCATACCTATAACTGATAGTACCGTTAGTTTTGCATGAAAAATAGACTTTAAACGCTCTAAACAGGTGTGTGTATCCCTTTAGTCATGTACAAAAACAATTTAAGGTCAAATCATTATACGCTTTAAAAAATACTAAAAAAGTGTGTTTTTTTTTGTACATGACTGAAGGGATACACGCCTGTTTAGCGTTTAAAGACCATTTTTCCTGCAAAACTAAAGGGATAAACTGGAATTGACTATGGGTCAGCTGGTCGGACAGAACAGCAGACTACTGGTCAGGGCATAGAGCTTGGAATCTAGAGGTTCAACTCCCACTGCCACAGACACTGAGCAAAACCCTGAACCCCACACTGCTCCCCTGGTGCTGCACAATGGCAGCCCACTGCTCCCCGAGGGGAGGGGTTAAATGCAGAGGGTTAATTCCACGGCTTCTGACGGTGTAATGACAATAAAAATAAATTAAAATAACTGAAAATAGGGTTACTGGATCATATATCAGATAGACTCTGATCCAGTCATTTCCTTTATATCTTAAGGTTTCAGTGATCTAGTAACTTTAGCTGCAGCACAGCAGCTTCTGATTTTAAAGTTTGTCCAGCCGGATGCTTTCATTCGCATGGCGGCGTCTGCGGTTCATCGTCAGCGATTCTCTCGGTCGACGTAATGAAACCAAACGGACTGAATCTGCCTAATTTTATTTATTTTGGTCAATTGCAACTTTTGCAAATACTTTGAGTTAACATTTGAAACTTGGAAAAGCTTTTATTGCACAATTTAAATGGAAACGGAAAAGAATCGTTTAAGGTTTTATTTTAAATTTTATTTACTGCTGTAAATCATTTAGACTTTTTAACAAATGACAGGATTGAGTCTTTGTTAGGACTCAAGTATTTTGCAAATTGATTAATCTGTAAAATATTTCTATTAATCAGACAGGCTACTTAAAGATGTTAAGAATAAGAATAATATATTTCTTACAAAGTGAAACTAAAAGTTTTCCACTTGTTCTGGATTATAGAGGAGATTGAAAGGTGACATTTTTTTTTTTTTTATATTCAAAATTTTATATAATTTTTTTGCAATTTTGATATAATTCCTGCTGAGTCGCTCTGTAAGCTAAAGGCATGTTTTACGGTCTCCAGTGAGCCTAAATAGGTCGATTATTTCACTAATCGATTAATCAGATAGTTTCAGCTCTAGTTCTTGTACCAGTTGTCATGGTAACGTCTGCATTTTGAGTTTCTTAGGAATCGGATCTTATTTCTAGCCTAACCTTAGCGCAGTGTGACGTCACCGCAGTGATGAACGCTGTCGGATCCATAAGGTTCTGGTTTCCAGTCCACCTCAGAGCCTCATGTTCTCCACTGGAAGCGTCTTCATGTGGCAGCAGGGCTTTCAAACGTAGCAGACCTCAGTCTGACTCTATGTTGCCTTGAAGCAGGATTATGATCAGTTTGGTAAAAGCAAAGCAGCTGACCTCAGGTTAACCAGCTCTCTCTACAGAGAACCTGTTTCTACCCGATGCTTAAAGTTGTGCCTCTTCTTGTGGCAGAGTCTTCCTCCAAAGGTCCCTCAGAGGATGGTAGCAAAGCGCTAACGCAGCCGCCTAAAGGTAAAACCGTTCACCGCCGCCCCTCTGCTCACCCGGCCTCCTGTAGGGCTTTATGTTACCTCTACCTTCAGAGAGTTTTCACTAACTAACCCGCTAACTAATCCGTTTGTTGCTTCTCCCTAAAATCCCTCCTCCTTCTGCTGCTTCAGTGTCCATCAGATGTCCTCCAGATGCCTGAAACGGTTTATTAATCTGCATCTGATCAGATCTAAAGATGGTTGAATGGAATCAATGAATCATTTATCAGACGTTTGCTTTGGATCATTTCAGCCTGGAAGCCTTTAAATGACTTAAACATCCTGAATGCTTCGTTTTTCTCTCCTAATCCTTTTAAAGACGTTAATCCCTGCTGGATTTTAATCTGAACCTCCACCAACGTACGCAGAGTCTCCATGTGAGAAAGAATCATCATAGGAAATGGTTTAAAATGTGTCTGACCTAATCCAGCGGCTCAGGATCACCATCTAGTGGTAGAGGGGAGTAAGTGCAGGTGTTGATATCTTGGGCATAAATCTTCCTTTGAACTCTGCTTGTTTGCCGTTTCAGTAAGTCTAATTTTTCCCATTTTCATGAGATCATCCCTAAATGTTTGGGTGTGATTAGTTTTTTAATCAGGGGAGCAAAGATTGGTTGAAAGCAGATGGTTTTCTACCAAAGGGTTGAAGTTTGAGGGTTTCTGAAAGGTTCTGGAATGAATCTTTGTCATTAGATCAGGTTTCTCTTTCCTTCATGACGGCGCTGAAAGGATCCGTTTAATGACTGCTGTTTTTGTTTAAAGGCTTTTCTTTCATTTAAATGATAAAATAACACGATTCCAAAATAAATGCACCATTTCAAACAAATGATTGGATAAAGATGGACTGATGTCAGCCAGCAGGTATGCAGCGCCGCTCGATCATCAGAAATGTCTGCCTAGACCTGAAAAGCTTTTGGTCTAGTCAAAGTAACGACCTGATGCTGTGCTTCTCGAGGGGTTTTTGGTGGGAAGATTGGATAAATGCAGAAAATCTTTTATTTTAACGCCTCTATAGGGCAGTTAGCATTTTTGATCACCTGCTTCCCCCTTACAAATGGAGTCCACTTCCCTCAGTGAGGTCTAGAAGCACAAGATCTATATCCAGCCATTCAGCAAATATCCTGCTACATAGCTACAAGTTGAAAGAAAAAAGTTAAGAAGTCAAAGTAAAAAGCTAATTGAAAAGTTAATGAGCCTAGTTAAAAAAAAAAAAAATTTAGGTTTATAAACTAAAATATCTAAGTGCCAGTATCGTTATTAATGCCTCTGTTATGTTGGACCAAATAAAATGTTTCTTTCACTTCTTATAGAAGGATTTTTTGTTATTTTTCTTAATATATTTGAGCAAGTTGGCAGTTATTAAATTTATATTTTTTCTATTAAAATATTCATATTTGTTTTAATGTTACAAAGGTAATAAAGTCTTGTTCTGGATTCCAATAACACTGTTGGCTTGAAATTTGGATTTTCCAAGTATTTCACTAAGTGCCCTATGAAGGGTTAAGCTTCCTTTTAAGGTATTTACTGTAAATGTATCTTAAATTTTAATTGTTTAGTCACCAGCCTAGTTTTCAGTAGGAACGTCTGATGGTTTGTAATCAGAGTATTTCTGTGCTGCTGGCTTCCTGTGAATCAAACTGTTCAGATTGTCAGGATGAAGGTCGTTCAGATGATCTTTAACGTAAACCTGGTTTGATGTTTCTTGTTTTGCTGCAGACGCTCTGCAGGAGAGATTTTAGCGATCGTCCACCTAAAGTAAATGTTAATCAGTCCAGAAAGTTTTAGTTCAAGCAGCAGATTTCATCACTTCCTCTTCTGTAGTTAAAATTCACATAATTTAACTAATAAACAGTGTTTAAAGGAAAAGTCCGGTCAGCGAGGAATAATCAACGAATCATTATTTATACCTGAAACTAATACGATCATGGTGATTTAATGAATTTAGTATTAAAAAGTAAAAAAAAATAAATAAATTTTTCGTGGCTATCTGAGTCTGGGAGCGGCCATTTTTTCCCAAATATAGTAGCCCCTCCCTCCTGCCATCTTCCAGCAGTGA